TTAGAGGTGTTATTAAATAATTTTTAATGGGATAACCACTGAATCTCCATAATGACCTGCTTCAAACTGTCGCATCAAACTTGAGTTTCTAAATATATGGGCATCATGCGACGATCCGGGCCGCATTTTTCCGTCTCCTATAGGGCTAGCGCAACCGAGTGCGCTAATCGTGTAGGATACGGAAGCGAGACCTGCATCTCCGTTCCCGTGGTTAACGCACCGCATACGAATAAGCACTCTGCAATGAGCTTTCTAGGTGATCTTTCTTTGTATGTACTTTGTATGCACGTTATAGCGCGATAATACACTAGAGGCTAAATGTAGCAAAGTATTCCTCAAGGTTATGACGAATAGCTGTCATCTTGGTTATGCAGGTACACTGCATTGTGCCATACCAAACCAACCCAAACTTAACAACCCAACCCAACCGACCCCGCCCCATTGGGCCCCTCCAGCCCCATTGAGCAATAGAGGTATAATATATCTAAGGGCAGGCTGCATTGTAAGATTGAGGAATACTTTGCTACATTTAGCCTCTAGTGATAATACCTAATTACAGGCGGTGCGTTAACCACTTAGGGAACGGAAATACAGGTCTCGCTTCCGTATCCTACACGATTAGCGCACTCGGTTGCGCTAGCCCTATAGGAGACGGAAAAATGCATCCGGGCCAACGTGCCACAATATTGCGAATTTTTTAATCTGCATCTGCGACCGTTTGCACGTTTAAGGAAAAGAATTGCTTCCTATTCCTATAAATTTCTGCGTTGTCACTGGTGATTGTATTTTTACATGGCTGCAATCAATTGCACCTATGCAACGAGGAAATCTTGCAATATTGTAAAATTTCTGGCGACATTCAGCTATATCTTTCCGAGTCTCGGGCATATAAATAGTGGTTGGACGTAAGCCGGCTATGGCCCGACTTACCCTAGCTATTGCTAAGCATGCTGTTGACTTGCTCACACCGGTAAAATCACCAGCTACACCAACAAATGAACCTGTTGCGTAAAATCGTAAAGTTAGCAACAACTGATCTTCAGCGGACAGAGCGCTATTTCTGCAAATACCTCAATGTCATATTTATATTTTAAAATAATCAGTAAAACCTGTCACTAGGATGTGCTATTATATCTTCCACTTCTTCCAGCACATTCTCCACAGTTCCTGGCGACAACCGAAACCTCGTAAAGAAGTCCTGGCGATCCCATCTTTCGAAATGATTTATTCGAGGTCTAATAATTTTTTCAATAAGACTTCGTCATCATCGTCATAAATATCAAAATCCCAATTCAATAAATTCATATTTAAAATTAGCCCAATATTTACTTTATTTTTTAACTAGTGATGATAAAACCGGGCCTTAGGCCAACTTATTTGTCTTCATTATCTTTAATTTAATTTTTAAGAAATAAATAAGATTAAGATTATTTTCTATTTTCTATAAACCATTCAATTTTCCCGATTAAAATCTGAGACATATTTTTAGTTTATTGGTGATTCTGTAAAAAATAAAGTGTGCAATATTTGTTGATTTAAAGATGAGTGCTTACGTCAAAAAAGGTTTATAAACCTCTTACGTCTTAAAGCACCAACATAAGTGTACAAAAAAGGCAAAATCACACACAAATTATATGTTGTCATAATCATTAGGGCACATTTTTTTATCTTTTTTTTTCAAAGTCATTTTTGCGATTGATGATTTACAAACCGATAATATTTAGAATGAATTGGAGATGGTTTTTTTCCAAAATTATTAAATTTAAACAAACGGGTTTATTATACAAAAATAGTTCCTTAATAATAAAAATATACCAATAGACCATAAATAGACCAAGTAGTTCTATAATATTCTTACAAAAAAATTACCTTAAAGTTTATTTATAATAAATTAACACTTTACTCAAATATTAAATCAGTCAAAGTAGGCTCAAAAGTGTGCCACTTAAAAATTGATGGTCTCATTTTTCATCGATTTAATACGGTTTTCAAACGGTTTAGAAGTAAAAACAATTTTCCTAAAATTTGTTTGCAAAAAATCGATTTTTACAATACTTAATTATTAATTACATTTTTACGGTTGTTTTTTTTCAAAATTGATTACTCCCGAAAGGTTTATCAAAACTTATTTTTATATCAAAATTTTCGTTGAAAAATATACTTTACGATAAAAAATTTATTGTTAAGGGGTATTTCCACGAAACCTTACCCCACCTTGACAAAAAATCAGATGTGTTATTTAACAAAATAACAACTATATCTGAAGTCAAATAGTTTAATTTCGACGTAATTTATAACCTTAAAATATTCGTACATAGAAGCTAACATTAAGAATAAACACGGAAGAGTTTCCATACTCGATAAAATGTTCAAATTTCGCACCTGTTACACTTTGTAAAAATTTTAGAAAATAAAGTATGCAATTTTTGTGCATTTAAAATACATGCTTGTTTAAGGTTACTATAGTTTTTATTGACATTTAGTTTGGGTTAAATATATAATTTTTCATACTATTTTTTTATATTAACGTATCTTGATATATACTTTATTATTATGAAAAAACGCATATTTACTGTCGCACCCGTTACAATGGATATACCCTACGGGCAAATCTTTAAAAAAAAATTTTTTTAAACAATTGAAAATTAATAAAACTTCTTTGCATGCGAGGATTTTTTTCAAATTTTATCCCTTACGAAAATTTTGGTAAAAAAAAAAGTTAGGGGACATCCATTAATTACGTCAGGCATTTTTCTGATAATTCCAGCGCTAGAGGTCGGAGCGCGGTCACTTAAACATTTATAACTTATGACTTTTTACGAAAATTTCCGTAAGCGATTATAAAATCAGATAAAATGTGAAAAAATGTCGGAGAAGTTTTATTAATTTTCTATTGTTTAAAAAAATACTTTTATTTTTTTTAAACGTTTGCCCTTTACAACAAATTTTGATATAAAAAAATGTTAAGTTTTGATAAACCGTTCGGGAGTAATTAATTTTTGAAAAAAACATCCACAAAAAATGTAATTATTAAAAACTATTGTAAAACTCGATTTTTTGAAAAAATATTTTAGGAATTTTTAAGTGGCACATTTTGAGCCAGTAGCTAAACAGTCTATCAATATTAATCTAAAAGTGCAATATAAATGAAATTGTAGCATAAAAGATTTAAAAATAAATTATTTTAAATAAGTGATTTATGAATAGATAATAATTAACAACAAAAATATTTTACAATTAACTGTTAAAAGCCTAAGTAATAGTTCTTGTTTGTCTCCTCTATATCACAAATACTATTTAAATAAGGTAAGTGCAATCTGAACCATTTTCAAATATATCCCAGCGTAATAAAGTTAAGACTGTATTTTAACTTACTTTACTTTATAACCATGCATTATTTTGAACCAAAAAGATACAGAATAGAACTTAACTACAACTAGAGATAAAACACCAATATGTAGGTAGGTGCTTTAAAGGATTTATTTTGGTAACAATTATTTATGAGGGAATGTAATTTGTAAACTAAAAATAATTGTGCAGTTCAGTCTTCTATAAAGCTCATAATATTTACTTTTTGCATTTTTGTGCAAATATTTTTAGAATAAATAAATTGTTACAATTACTTTTATAATTGTACTTGAGGGTGTTGTTTTTTTACTTGGGTATCATCTAAATTATCTGTCTAGTCTAAAAACATTTTTTCCGATGTCGTTTAACCCTTCATAAAGGACATTTTAATGACAATGTAAAATTTATAACTCGCTAATAAATATACATGCAACAATATAACAATATAAGACATATTTATGTAGGAAATTAACGCTGTAGAAAAATGGTATTTAATATTTTTTTATAAAACCATCCAATTAAATAATATTGGAGGTCGAATTTGAAATAAATCAAAATAAAAAGTATTGTCATTATATTTTTTTCTAAATTTATAAATGGCTTATTTTACTTGGGTATCATCTAAATTATTTGTTTAGTTTAAAAACAATTTCCGATGTTTTAAACTGTCTAAATATTGATACTTTTAATTTTTAATTATTTTGGCCTCCTATATAATTTAAATGGATAATTTTACGAAAAAGCGTACAATACCTTTTTTGTAGTGTTATATAGAAAAAAAATATTTAGTTTGCAAAATTGTTTTTAAACTAACATATAATTTAGATGATACCGAAGTCAAAAAGATATCTTGGGAATTAACGCACACCCTAGTAAACATGTACATTAGGGTGTCTGTTATTTACCAACTTATTTAATTTGTTCACAGAGCCCCCTAAATTTTTAGTTATGACCTAAAGAAATTATAAAACAAAATATTCATATTAAACCGTGCCACAAACACGATACATTTTCCATTTAAATAACATGGGGTTTAGGCAAGTTTTATATTTAATTTTTTTTCTCCCAAGCAAGTTAATATTCAGTAATAAGTAATTCAGTAATATTTTTATAGGAAATTGAACGCTATACAAAAAAGCTCTCTTATGATTTTTCGATAAATGATTTAACCCCATGTTTTTTAAATAGAAAATGTATCGTCTTTGTGGCACGGTTTAATAGGAATATTTTTTTTTTAATTTTTTAAAAACTAAAAATTTAGGGGGCGCTGCAAACAAAAAAACCAAGTTGGAAAATAACGGACACCCTAATGTAATTTTTATTGTTTGATCTTTTGTACTTTATAACTTAATATTGTACATACGGTGGTTTGGCTTAGCAGGGCGGCATAGTAGGTACTTACTGAAATTATATTTTTGCTTGTATAAAAATTACTATACCTAATACATTATTCTTGGGTTTTCCATAAAAGTATAGTGGTACAGTTCGATTTTTAAAAGAAGCAACTTTTGTTATAAATTTAAAACCTGTTTTTCGACATATGTATCACTGCATGCCATCGCTCCATCTGAGGATCCTTAATTGATGACGAAAGTTGCTTCTTTTAAGAAAAAAACTATACAAAAAATCAAATCAATCAAATTTACTTATTTCTATTTAATAAACTATTTAAATCCATGTTGTCGTTTTTAATTATTGTTGCTACTTTATTTTAAATATGTAAGTAGAATTAAAGTTTTGAATAAATGCATAGTTTTTCATAGCTAAGAATTGTTTTATTGTCTCTTTTTCTACATCACTTACCAATAAATGTACTGATATTACATTAATATGCACCTTTTGAAAGGGTATTGTTTCTAAAACTTGCAATTCTGTACCGCCTGATTCTAGGCTAAGATAATCAATATGACTAACATTCATGGCCAAAACTAAAGAATAAATGGGAAAACATTTTACTCTGGTATTAAACCCATCATTTTCTTCAATACTATTTGCGTGAATACTATTTATTTTTACACCATCATATTCCTGATGCATAGTAACTTCTTTAGGGTAAGGCATTGGACTTACACATGCATGAATAGCTTGTGACTTAAGACGATTATGTCTTTTTAAACTAAAATAGTGTCTTGGGTCAGGTTGTATCAGTAAGCCCCTCCAATTTAATTTTTTTTCTAGCCAATTTGTTTTTGAACTCTTTCCATCATTATATGCACCTGCTTCTACAAAAACTCCATTGCGCTAAAACAGTTTATTAAATTATTTTTTTACATTTTATAAATTACCTAAAAATAAGTTCTAAATCTGGACCTTTGGACCAAAGGATATTAAATATTAAAAATTTAAAAAGGACCTTTTTGCTCTATTGTCCGACAATATTTTGTTCTGACATAGAATACCCATGATATATTTTTGTTGTATTGGCAATAGTAACTTTTGCCAAATAAATTATAGTAATGCCTTAAGGGTAACATTTTCTCGATTTTTTAAAGAAGACAGGTATTCCATATTCCCTCCTTACGCAGGCTGAACATTCGACAAAAGTAGGGCTCGCCGCGGAGATGCATTTCCCATTCCTCGCGTCGCTAGCTACATAGCTAGCTAGGTTTCTGTCGCATTTGACACGGTCTGTATCAAGTAAATAAATAACCGAATAAATTAATCTTGTCTGTACACAATATATTTTAAAATAAACAAGCTATGTAATACAGAAGAAAAAAATCGTTAATATTTGTACACAGTATGTACAAATATTAACGATTTTTTTTCTGGCTATCTCTCAAAAGGCAGCAAAAGTCAAATTTCCATTGCGCTTGTTATGAAAAATAGTGACATATCTCATGGCGAAAGGGTTCAGGAATCGCCGCCTTTCGCCAGTCAATATGTAATGTAGGTACTATTATTAAACCATTAGCAGAAAAAAAAATTACATGATTGGATGGGTGCACCGCTCATAATTCCAGGGTTGTCACTTGTTATTTAGGGACAATATTTCTACAAAGAAAAATATCAAATGGATGGCTAACCAGATCACCGGATCTGTCTCCTGATGATTTTTTTCTATAGGGGTATATGAAATCCAGCGACATAAAAGGGCTAATAGTTTCTTAATTCTTGATTCTTAATATTTTTTAATGAGTGGAAGTAGGAATTCTAATTTTAATTAGAATTATTTTCATTTTATTTAATATTTTAGTTTTTAAAATTTTTATTTTAAGAATCTTGTTGATTTTAATAGAGCACATTTTCATAATACATCATAACTTACTTAACGTAAATTAAAATGCTGGATTTGATTTTGATTGTTTACAAACTACAAAGACTACAAAGACTGACTGATTCTCATAAGGTTAAAATACATAGAATACATGAGTCGTGAAAATGATACTCGCTGATAAGTGTCGTAGATCTAAGGTTCTTGGAATATACCTTACAATTAGTGGTATACTATTATGCATTATGTACCTATATAACACCTCTCCCCAAAGATTCAAATTACGGTTTTGGAATTTGAACATCTCCCAGATTGATTTCTTTTGAAATTGGTTTGTGCTTTAAATATTTTAACGAACCTTTTTTTACTAATAAATAAATGGTTATAATTAACATAAATAGTGATGGGCGTTTCGGGTCACTCTTTTGAACCGGATCACTGGATCTGGATTACATAAGAACTGTTTGAATCTCAGAATAATTAAAAATAACACTTAATGCATTCGGATCACATCAACTTTATGTTTATGTTAAAAATGTTTATCACTTTAATATTTAGGAGCCTTTATTATATTATATTATATATATATGGGCAGATCCATTACTTTTCGACAAAAGTGTGCGGGGGTAAATCACCGATTTGGCTGCCGATTTTTTTCTCGAAAGTAGGTCATATAAGGAGACGATCCTGAAAATTTGAGCTCGATATAGGTAATTCCGGTTGCAAGAGAATTTTTTGAAATATAAAAAAGTCGATTTTTTAGTCATTTTCAAAAATTCGTATCTCAGCTCCTATTTAACTTAGAGATTTGATCAAGACGGCATTTTTCTCTGTTATTCCTCTATTTTCAAGAAAAAATAGATTTTAAGTTTAAACTCAAATCCGGCTAAGCTGTAAGCCTCCAAATAAAACACTGCTTAAGATAAATTTTGCCAATTTTTAAAGTGCTCACAAATCCACATTTTTTGAAGCAGTGGAATAAATGACAGATGATATTTTTCGTTAAGGTATACTCTGTTGGAATTTACCCACTTTTTACTTGATTGCTTCGATTTCTCTAATGTATGGCCACTCAAAGACAATTGATTTTTGAAAAATCGCTGTTTTCAGATACCTACAACTTTTTTCTATCGATCCGAAATCCTTTGATAATTTCAGGGATTATACTTTATTCTATCCCCAAACAACCCATCAAAACTTTTTCTTGGGTATTGAAGTGGTTTCCGAGCTATGAATTTTTAAAAATGTCAAATTTTTAATATAATGTGACATTTTTGGTAGTTTTATTATCAGTTAAATTCGTAATAAATTAATTGATATCTGTCGGTAAGCATTAAATTAATTATCATTATAGGCTGGCTGCACATTATGAACAAGGTCTAATGGATTATTGACTAAAGTATTACTAATAATTCAATTAACTGATAATAAAACTACTAAAAATGTCATATTATATTGAAAATTTGACATTTTAAAAAATTCATAGCTCGGAAACCACTTCAATACCCAAGGAAAAGTTTTGATGGGTTATTTGGGGATAGAATAAAGTATAATCCCTGAAATTATCAAAGGATTTCGGATCGATAGAAAAAAGTTGTAGGTATCTGAAAAAAGCGATTTTTCAAAAATCAGTTGTTTTTGAGTGGCCATACAGAGAGAAATAGAAGCAATCAAGTAAAAAATGGGTAAATTCAAACAGAGTATACCTTAACGAAAAATATTATCTGTCATTTATCCCACTGCTTCAAAAACTGTAGATTTGAGAGCACTTTAAAAATTGATAAAAATTATCTTAAGCAGTGTTTTATTTGGAGGCTTGCAGCTTGAGTTTAAACTTAAAACCTATTTTTTTCTTGAAAATAAAGGGATAACAGAGAAAAATACCATCTTGATCAAATCTCTAAGTTAAATAGGAGCTGAGATATGAATTTTTGAAAATGACTAAAAAATCGTCTTTTTTATATTTCAAAAAATTCTCTTGCAGCCGGAATTACCCATATCGAGCTCAAATTTTCAGGATCGTCTCCTTATATGACTTACTTTCGAGAAAAATGAACAAGGTCTAATAGATTATTGACTAAAGTATTACTAATAATTCATTTAACTGATAATAAAACTACCAAAAATGTCATATTATATTGAAAATTTGACATTTTTAAAAATTCATAGCTCGGAAACCACTTCAATACCCAAAGAAAAGTTTTGATGGTTTGTTTGGGAATAGAATAAAATATAATCCCTGAAATTTTCAAAGGATTTCGGATCGATAGAAAAAAGTTGTAGGTAACTGAAAACATTGATTTTTCAAAAATCAATTGTCTTTGAGTGGCCATACATTAGAGAAATCGAAGCAATCAAGTAAAAAATGGGTAAATTCCAACAGAGTATACCTTAACGAAAAATATCATCTGTCATTTATTCCACTGCTTCAAAAACTGTAGATTTGAGAGCACTTTAAAAATTGGCAAAATTTATCTTAAGCAGTGTTTTATTTGGAGGCGTACAGCTTAGCCGGATTTGAGTTTAAACTTAAAATCTATTTTTTCTTGAAAATAGAGGGATAACAGAGAAAAATGCCGTCTTGATCAAATCTCTAAGTTAAATAGGAGCTGAGATACGAATTTTTGAAAATGACTAAAAAATCGACTTTTTTTATATTTCAAAAAATTCTCTTGCAACCGGAATTACCTATATCGAGCTCAAATTTTCAGGATCGTCTCCTTATATGACCTACTTTCGAGAAAAAAATCGGCAGCCAAATCGGTGATTTACCCCCGCACACTTTTGTCGAAAAGTAATGGATCTGCCCATATATATATATATATTAGGGTGTGCCAAAAAACTCGATATTTTTGTTTTCTTGCTCTCCACCCAAAATATCGTAGAATATGTCCGAACAAATATCCTGTTAAAAGCGGAGCTCATAATTTCAATTTTAAGAGGTCCTTCATCGATTATGAAGTTTTGCCGCTTAAATAGCTTTTTTACCTTATTTATTCTTGCAACCTAGGAAGAAATTTTTTTTTATAAAATCCATGACTGAATCTTACAAAGCATTAAATTTGGACGAAAAAATCTTATTAAGCCAAATTTCTATTTTCATTATTTGATTTTTTACAGAGCTTTAAATTTAAAATTTTAGGTTTTTTGCCTTTTTCAGCTAAACTATTGAAGTTAGATAAAAAAGTCAAATGGCAATTTTTTAGCTTGTCCGATGGACCACATAAAAGTTTAAGGCGAATTTTTTGTATCGTCAATATTCTAAAAGTTACAGGCGTATAAAGTCATCATTTTTGTATTATTAACTTTTTGTTAGTGAAATATTAATGTTAGCACATAAAGCCAATAGAGAATTATAAAAAAATTTAATTTTCGGAATAATTGTCTTAGTAAAATTTGATGTACTGTCTACCATTAAAATTTACAGATTTATTTAAGCTTATTTCGATGGTTTCGATTGTCAATTGTTTATCTGATTTACTTAAAAAAACATCGAAATAAGCCTAAATAAGTCTGTAAATTTTAATGCTTGACAGTACATTAAATTTTACTAGGACAATTTTTCCGAAAATTCAATTTTTTTTATAATTCTCTATTGACTTTTTGTGCTAACATTAATATTTCACTAACAAAAAGTTAATAATACAAAAATGATGACTTTATACGCCTGTAACTTTTAGAATATTGACGATACAATAAAAAAGTAAGTTTTCTGTGTTATTTAAGCGGAAAAACTTGAGATTCGATGAAGGACCTCTTAAAATTGAAATTATGAGCTCCGATTTTAACAGAATATTTGTTCGGACATATTCTACGCGCACTTAGAATTCCGTATCTTTAATTTTATGATATACATTTTTAACTATCTTTCATACATAAAAACCTCTTACTAAATAACTAACACTGTGACTTCAATTTGTCTATATCCCACTGGGAAAGAAACCTTACAAAATATTGCTGCAATGTTCGCCGACTTTACAAATAAAATATTTCCTGTGCTACTTGCATTAGCATAAATGAAATGTTA